CCGTCATCGCCGCTCTCCGCGAAGGGTTCAAGGGAGCGGGTAACTAATCAAGCCAAGTTGCATAAGACAGAGACTGAGGTGATTTGAAACGACCCCCCCGAGAGAGCGAAAGTGAGGGTGAGATGCGGATGAAGCCTGCTTGAGGGGCCGCAAACGGGAGCCTTATGGCACGCCTAGTTGTGCCAATGTGACGTATGGGACTGCCACGCGCCTCGAGGGCTACAGAGCGAAATGAAAAGCGCATAGCGAATGGAACCCCCCAGAAGTGGCCCAAGTCAGGGTTTTCAGCCCGGAAAAGGTGGTTTGGGCCAGAAAAGGGGGGGGAAGCATAAAAAGCGCATAGCGAATGGAACCCACCAGAAGTGACCCAAGTGTGGGTTTACAGCCCGGAAAAAGGGGTTTGGGCCAGAAGAGGGGGGGGGAGCGGAGTGGGTAATTCGCGAAGGGGAAGACGAGAAATGCGGCCGTGATCGAGAAACAGTCGAGGATATGACGAGGCTACAAACGGGTGAGAAATAGGAGGGGGGCGGGAGTGGAAGCGTTAGGAAGGGGATCATGCGGACTGAAACGAAGAACGTAGTACAGACCGACAAAGAAACAGGACGACACGTGCAATGAGTGACGAGGGAGGCAGCGCAAGATGCATAGAGCTTTTTCACGGCTGTGGGCGAACCAGCTCGACGGTGTCCCCACGGAGCACTATGCGACCTTCCGCACTGAGAGCGCGAAAGGCCCTCGTCAGAGCAATGGGAGGCCAGTCGTCAGCCGCGGTGGGGGCCCATGCTCTCAGTTCTTCGAGAAGGGAGTCGATGGAGGGAAGGTCGCCCCTCTCCCGCTGCCGCAGGAGCCACCGTCGCACTTTGCGAGTTGGGAGCGACGATGGCGCATTTGCAACGGAACCAGCCCCTGGATTGCAGTGCACAGCTGAGTACTGTAGGTGCTGTAGTAGGTTTGCTCCCAGCGCAGGAGGGGGATGACGACGTGGGGCAGCAGCCAGACTCGAGGCCCACACCCACCAACAATCTGGACACAGGCGGATGTTTACTTCGCCCGATGCTGCATAGGAAGTGTGTGCTCCGAAGTTCCAACGACATCTTCCCCGATTGTGTACTACCGTGTTGCATGAGGCACAGACTGGACCCTGCTGACCACGACACCAAGGGCATGGGCGGGCCTGCGAGTCCCAGGAAGGGAGGCAAGCGCCGCCACATGTCCAGCAAGCTGCTACGCAAGCAAGGTGCGCAGGAGGTGAACAGTGACAGGGCACTGCAAGAGCTGAGACCGCATCCGACCAGGTTGGCCTCGGTGGGCCCCAGTGAGGACTACCGGCGAGCCCCGCCGCAGTCCAATAGCGTGCTTGCTAGGGCTTGTTCGCGCAAACGCTGGCAGGGTGCAGCTGCTCGCAGTCGTCGCACTGCCACTTCACATGGCAGGAGAGCCCAGCGGATCTCCCGCACGAGGGCAGTACCTTGAGGAGATGCTAACCAACGCTGTAGGTCACGAGTGGGCGAGTGGATCATTGCAGGTGGATCAGGTGGAGACTCACCCTCCTCGCCGGGAGGGGTTGGATCGGCTAGGGCGATGCTGGCGAGGTGGAGCCACGCCGAAAGGCGAGCCTGATACGCACTCCGAACACATCGCAGGCCTAGCATGAGCCGCTGAGCAAACTGGATGGCCGGTAGCGCCATGCGCCTAGACTGCGAGAGGAGGCAAATTTCAGATTGGAGAGCCGTCGATTGCCGGAGGGTGGCGAACTGCTCCAGTTCTTGATTTGCCAGCGCCTCCAACTCTGCAGGGGACAGGTGGCAAATAGCAGCGCCCATGGCCTTTGGGAAAACACCGCGGTAGGCGAGGTCGGACCCCGACTCGCGTGAGCATGCAGCGGCACTGCTGCCGTTGACATCCTGGAAGAGTAAGGTTTCACGCTGAGGAATGGGGACGAGCCAGCGCCAGGCCGCCAGGATTGGCCATCGTCGCGCCGATTCCGGACACGGGTCAGCGGGTATCTTGCCTGGCGGGGGCAGCAGTGAGGCTCTCCACCGAGCCGCCGCTTGCAGGTGAGCCTCCTGGTCTATACCCGCTGCGAGCTCAGTTTCAATGTCATCTCGGAGGCAGTAAGGGGGGACAAGGCAGCACAATGGGCAAGTGCGGGCAGAAGGCCATCCGGCCTGCTCCGCCCATGTATTTGCCGTGAGGGTCTCTGTCGGGCTAACATGGAGCCTTTCCGTCCAGGCTCCACCGATGGCGCGGTGGAGGCGATAGGATACGGCTGAAAGGTCTATGGGGAGGGTGTCGGTTGGAAGCGCCCACCGTAACCAAGCAGGGGGGAGGGTGCATTGTGTATGAAGAGACGGGTCGAGTGATGGAGTGAAGATTTGGTGAGCTACTCGAGGCAGCAGTCCCTGGACGGGACGCTCGCTCCAAGCTGCTTCACTCTGACACCGCTGCACTTGCCGAACGCATTGGCGGATGGGGCCCGTGACCATGCGGCCGTCTAGATCAACCCATGCGAAGGATCCGCCTGTAGGCAGGCGTATGTCTGGTGGCGCAGTGCTGCGGGATTGCGCTGAGCAGCCTGCGTCCTGCGCTTCATTGCCCTGCGTCAGCACCGGGAATGGGAGAGAAGAGCTTGTCTGGTGACTGCGGATGTCTACCCCTACGACACCATCCTCGACAAAAGCAATGCGCGAGAAAACGCGCTGGTGGCCATCAACAGGGAGTTTGATGTTCCACTGGCGCGGGAACCGCTGTTGATGCAGCTTCCAAGAAGGGGTAGGCGCGGAGCCTGTCCACGCGTACCGCAGTTCCCCGAGGACATGTTTGAGCATCACCACCAGGGAAGAGCACTGGGAAGACAGAAGTCTGGACACGGAGCCCGCAACCGCGACTCGCATGGACGAAAACAGTGCACTGCGGTCGAACAATAGGAGGTGCCACTGGTCTGTACGGCGAAAACGCAGTGCACAAACCACAATGAGAGCAGTTCGGCAGTGTGGATGGAGGTGGACTCCCAGCCCAGGCGAGGGGGGAGTTTGTGGGCCAGTTGCGCAGATACCCATGCGGAGGAGTCCCAGTATTGCCCCAACCTCCCAAAGCTACGAGCTTGGCAAGCAAAGGTGGCACCGGACAGCTTTGAGTAGCCGCCATCGCCATAGATAGCCTGGTCATCCGAGTCCCGCGGTGTGGGCACGGTAGAAAGGAGCAGGCGTGAGCGTGGGTCACATCGCCAGTTCCATGGGTCCTCCCACGCTTCCTCTGTCCACTGCTCAGCGATGTATTCCGGTGGAATGACGTGAAATAGGGAACATTCTGTGGTCCAGTCTTGCTGAGACTGGGCATAGGCCAAAGAGGCAGCTCTGGCACATTCAGCCGGGGAGATTGGAGCGTGCTGGGGCAAGGCGTGTCCCCACAGGGCTGGGTCGTGCCAGTCTGCATGAGGGCCGTGCTGGAGCATAATGTCCATCCAGGCCGACCTGATTGAGTTAGCGAGCAAACCAAACCTACAGTATCGAGCAGCTGCATCAAATTTTGCGGGGACAAAGCCGCCGATTAGTGACTGCGGCGCTATGCTGCTGAGGTTATCCAGCACGCGAGCCACGAACCGGTCAGTGGAGAGGCTAACGTAAAAACCGTACCCTGCTAGGAACTTCATGGCATCGGTAAGGGTGCCAGCGTGCCTAGGCAACTCCAATGGCGAGCATAGGAGGGCCTGACGGAGTGTGTCACGCGCCACAAGAGAGGCAGGCGCCGTGCCATTGAGTAGTACAAGGAAATCAGCTGCTACTGCTGCTACGAGAAGGTCTGTAAGCAGGGGGACCCCTAACCCACCAACTTTTCGAGGAGCTGATAGGCTGACGTGTTCAGCAGTGGTGCGGGCGCAGAACGAGGAAACTGGATGCAGGAGGCCATCTGAGATGTTCCGGGGTGATGTAGGCAGCGGGAATGTTGCGCAAGGACATCACACGTAAGAGGCGGCCTGGGCAGGGCTGGGGTCGAGATGAATACCAGCCGTCTGGCCTCAAGCATAGGACCCACTCCCCCACCCGCACGCAGTCGAGGTCCTCAGTGAAGCGGACATCGGCGGCCTGGAAGTGTACCAAGCGCCATGGGCCGGGTGAGAGGAGGGCCTGCCCCATGAGTGTCGTGACCGATGGGCGCATCGGCGATGTTCACGAAATCAATGGCTCCGCGAGGCTGACGGTATGTGTCAAGGAAAGGCATCGTTGAGGCATGATACCATGCAAGGGGTGGCTGTTGCAGTAGTTTCGCCCATTCCTGAGTGGCCCCGACTAGCACATCTGCAGCACTGCCGGGGCGATGGCGGGAGCCGTCACCGGCAGTTACCCACTCGGGAGAATACCGGGCTTGTGGCAGGGAGGGGGGTTTCATGCGAGTGGCCCAGGCTTTGGAGTCCCCACGCCTGAGTAGAGAAATGCGTTGTTGGCGGGGCCGCTGATTGACGGCTGGCTGCGTACGCTATGCAACTGTCTAGGAGTTGAATGCCACCGGCTGGAGGGGCGGACGGTGGGAGTGAAGACCAGGACGGGGCTGCTGGAGCCTGTTCTGCACGGGTTCCCTGGCTTCGTGAGGAGTGTTCTACTGGGGGGGACAGGACGGCAATGGATTGAGAAAACCCTAAGCACGTGGCCCAAGCAACCCGATCAGCAGAGAAACCGTCCCAGTCCGGAAGGGGGGACTCCGGCCGAGACGTTGCGATTGTTTGCAGGTGGGCATCCATGTCGGCTGCTTTTTGCCAGAGGCGGTGCCCTTCATCAAGCGAGAAGCGCGACAGGATGAGGTCGTGGCCGTGGCACCGGATGGCATCCCTGATAGACTGCCGGACTCGTTTGAGTTCAAGGAGGCACGCATGCCATGCAGCAGCTGCGCGGCAGTCACGCCTGTCTACAGGGGGGGCCACAGGAGGGAGGCAAGAAAGGAGCACTGACATGACAGCATCCACCGCACCAACCAAGCGGGCCTGGAAACCCTCCGGCACTGGGAGAGTTGGACCCCCTAAAAAACCGTCCAACCCTTCAACGGATGGCTGTTGGAACGTGTGCCACTGGGACTCGAGAGCGCTTAGCTCAGTTGCAAGCTGCGCAACTTGGTGTGAGTGCTCTTCCGCTCTCATTGCGACGGATGCGGGGAGGTACCCATCCAGCCTACGGACTAAGCTGCGCCACGGTGGCGAAGCAGATGGGGAGACCGATGTTTCCGGCAAGTGCAACGCGAGGTCCACCAACACCGGATCATGGTCAACTCTACGGCCCCACTGCCAAAGGATGGCTGCGTTGAGAAGCTGAACCTCTACCTGTGGGCAGGGCAGCCACCATATGGAATCAAGACGGCTGGCCGATCCGGCTTGAGAGAAGAATGTGAAAGCTCTCAGGCGGGGATGACGGGACCTAAACATGTCCTGAAGACCACATGCGACGCAGTGGGAGGCTAAGGATCGACTGACGTGCGATATAGCGCCCGCCCCAGCTGTCCAGCTCAACATCGGCAAAGGAGTTAAGGTCACCTCCGACCACAAGCAGTTGTTGCAACTCACCAGCTTTGTGCACTTGGCGGTCGATGAAGTCCTTGAGGGTCTGCTCATCCGCAGTGTGTTGCGGGCTCCCCACACCGAATTGTGGGAGACATGCGCCGACAGGACCATAGAGTGCGAGGAATCGAGCATCAATGCCACTGCTGGTGTGCAGTGCAGCCGAGACAGCCCTACCTGATGGGTCTTTGGTTACATCCGTCCAGCTACCCGAGTAGCCTGAACGGACGGCGAGGATTACTCCTGACCCCGCAGCTGCATAGTCTGCGGGGCCGTTGCGAGGACGTCCGTGACTGACAGCGTGGTAACCGCAAGAGAGGAGGCCTCGGCATGCCTGTGCGTGCTGTGCATCTCCTTGGAGTGCAGTTTCCGACAGTATGCCGACATCGGCTCCAAGGGTGCGCAGTCCTTGACCATGCCAAAGTCCCCACTGGAATCGATCGCGACCCGTGCTGCCACACTGGATTGTCACGACACGAAGAGTTTTGGAGCCTTTCCACGTCATATCATCCCCGAGGCATTGCCCTACGATACTGGCAGGATCTGGCGCTGCCCCACGTCGAGGCGAAGGCGTGCATCTGCACCATCCACCTCGGAGCGAGGCGCGTCGGCGCCAGAGGAGGAGGAGGAGCATCCGCCGTCTTCGAGAAGATCCATGCTCGGGGATTCGAATGCCCTGCTGTTGGGCGAGGCTGGAGCCTATAGAGGCCAGTCGGAAGGACGGTGCATGCGCTACTACTGAAGCTCAATCAAACAAAGCAGGGAATACAGCACCGATGCCTACGGAAGGCAAGCTATTGCGGAGGAACGCCTTTCTGCGGAAAGAGCCTACGGTGCGGAGCGGGGTGAACCGAAACAATTGCCAGCGGCGGGAGAAACCATATACAACAGCGACCTCAGATATCTGAGAAAGGCTACCTGAGATCTGGTGGAGAGGACCCGGCAGCACTCAAAGCGCCGGCGCGTTACACTCCGGACAACGACCCCGCGAGTGTGGGGCTTTAAGCCACCGTCCAGGCAATCAGAGTGTACTACGTGGAGGCATGCCAGTCGCACGAGCTTGTCACAGGCAAGGATGTCGTCCCGGCAACACACACATGTCCAGCCCTCTTCCGATGCACCGGCTGTGAACTGGACCAGGCGCAGTCCGTGGAAGACGGGAAGGTCCAGAGCCGTCCGGTGGATTGGGCTGCGTAGGAGAGGTTGGGTTGGATGGGACAACGTTCCCTATCAGGTCATCAGGCGGGGCTGGTAGCGCTGGTGGCACTGATTGCTGGGCGAGCGAAAGTTTGAGGGTACCTACCGGAGAGGCCAGCTTGGTGCGACCTCGTTTGTCCTTTCCCGCTGCTGGCTGGAGCTCCTCCAGGATGCGGCCGGCAAGACCAGGTATCGCGAAGGCGGCGTGTGACAGGAAGAAGGCGGGGATCTTGTGAGAGCTTCGTCTGGTTTGTGCGAGCTGGAAGCTGGGCTCTAAACCAGCGAGTGAAGGTGAGAGCCCCGCCACATGGCTCAGCAAGGCTTCCAGTTGGCTGAGGTTGGGGCGTCGGGGTAAGCCAACAATGTGTAGCCCTGCCGGCAAGCGCAACTTTGGCGAGGCCGCCAGCTGCACAGTGGCCGGTGAGGGAGGGCTAACTGAGATTGTGGCAAGTTTTGCTCGCTTCACCTTGGCCTTGCCCTTGGGGGATGTCCCAGAAGATGCCGCAGTTGAGCGAAACACGGTGAGGGGAGCTGGCCGTTTTGGAGTGCCGGTGCTCCGAGAAGCGTGTCCACCACTGGACGGGCGAGCCGCCTGCTTTGGCGTCAGCCCGGGTTTGGCAGGCAAGGCCATGGTGTTCTGCGTCCGGCGGACGCTCCGTGAGCGAGCGGGGCCAAGATCTCCACGAGGATGCGGATTGTGAGGTGGTAGCAAACGTGGCCGTGCCGAAAGTGAACCGGAGCCTGCTCGAGCACGAGGTGGATGAGGACCACCAGCAATGCCGTGCCTGGTGCTGGCGAGCGTAGCTGCACCAATGGCTCCGGTAGGGCGTCTAGCGAATGCCGGGCGAGGGCGGCCGGGATCGGCATGCACTGGGAGTGCACGCGGGGCGGCACGAGCATGAGCAGACGGACGCCCAGAGCGGGCCGTGTGGCCGCTGGCCAAGGCTGCTTGTGGTACCCCACAAGTACGAGCACGCTGAGGACGAACATGGGAAGGGTTGCGGCTGTCCCCACCCGCTGGCCTTGGGCTGTACCCTGGGTTGCCAGGCTCCAATGGTGGAGGGGCCCGTACCGGCCAACGTGGAGGGCGGAGATGACCTGCTAGCGGTGTAGAGCGAAGAACCTGAGGAGCTGCAGGTTGCGCCGCCGTGCTAGTAGATGGAACGCCGGCCTCAGCCTCCGCTGGACCTGGCGGAGGGAGCAGCGCATTGATGCTGCGCTCCGCCAGTAACAGCCCCATGCGCACCGCGCGGCGGGCGTCTTCTTGCCATGACGGGTCCATGGCGTCCACAGGGCCACGACGAAAAAGGATACGTAAGGCAATGCTGCCTAGACTTGAGAAGGTGAGCGGACGCCGGTGCATGGGTTTGCAACTTCAAGCTCCAGAACAATGCGCCTGGCACAGCGATGTAGATGCGCAAGACCGTTCAAAATGAGAGGACGGACATGGTAGGACACCGTGGAGAGGAGGAGGAGGCGGGGCACGGGGAGCAGGGAAACACGGTAAGGCGGGGACAGTCGGAGGCCGACTGAGCCTGAGCGAGCAAGCGAGCGAATAAAGCGAGGGGGGGGAGGGGTGGCAACGAATGATAACGAGGTTTGGCACTGTCGCCCTGACGGAAGGCATGCGGGCGAGAGGGGCCCTGCTCATCGGCGAAAGGTGCCTTAGTGCCGCCCCCGGCGTCCCGCCCCTCTCGGCAAGACCCCGTATGACCTTGCACAAACCGCCAGAACCGGGGGTTAGGGTTTCGGGTTTTGGGTTTAGGGTTTAGCGAGGGT